ACATTCCGGTGTATATACCACACACACACACTCCGGTGTATATACCACACACACACACAGGTGTATATACCACACACACACACCGGTGTATATACCACACACACACTCTGGTGTATATACCACACACACACACACACTCCGGTGTATATACCACACACACACCGGTGTATATACCACACACACACACTCCGGTGTATATACCACACACACACTCCGGTGTATATACCACACACACACACTCCGGTGTATATACCACACACACACACTCCGGTGTATATACCACACACACACACTCCGGTGTATATACCACACACACACTCCGGTGTATATACCACACACACACTCCGGTGTATATACCACACACACACACTCCGGTGTATATACCACACACACACACTCCGGTGTATATACCACACACACACACTCTGGTGTATATACCACACACACACACACACACACACTCTGGTGTATATACCCCACACACACACTCTGGTGTATATACCACACACTCCGGTGTATATACCCCACACACACACACTCCGGTGTATATACCACACACACACACACACACACACACTCCGGTGTATATACCACACACACACACACACACACACACACACACACACACACTCCGGTGTATATACCACACACACACACTCCGGTGTATATACCACACACACACTCCGGTGTATATACCACACACACACACTCCGGTGTATATACCACACACACACACTCACTCCGGTGTATATACCACACACACACACTCCGGTGTATATACCACACACACACACTCCGGTGTATATACCACACACATACACTCTGGTGTATATACCACACACACACACACACTCTGGTGTATATACCCCACACACACACTCTGGTGTATATACCACACACTCCGGTGTATATACCCCACACACACACACACTCCGGTGTATATACCACACACACACACACACACACACACTCCGGTGTATATACCACACACACACACACACACACACACACCACACTCCGGTGTAATATACCACCACACACACTCCGGTGTATATACCACACACACACTCCGGTGTATATACCACACACACACACACTCCGGTGTATATACCACACACACACACACTCCGGTGTATATACCACACACACACACTCCGGTGTATATACCACACACACACACACACTCCGGTGTATATACCACACACACACACCGGTGTATATACCACACACACTCTGGTGTATATACCACACACACTCCGGTGTATATACCACACACACACACACACACACTCTGGTGTATATACCACACACACACTCCGGTGTATATACCACACACACACTCCGGTGTATATACCACACACACACACTCCGGTGTATATACCACACACACCGGTGTATATACCACACACACTCTGGTGTATATACCACACACACTCCGGTGTATATACCACACACACACACACACACACTCTGGTGTATATACCACACACACACTCCGGTGTATATACCACACACACACTCCGGTGTATATACCACACACACTCCGGTGTATATACCACACACACACTCCGGTGTATATACCACACACACTACGGTGTATATACCACACACACACACTCCGGTGTATATACCACACACACACACTCCGGTGTATATACCACACACACACACTCCGGTGTATATACCACACACACTCCGGTGTATATACCACACACACACACTCCGGTGTATATACCACACACACACACTCCGGTGTATATACCACACACACACTCCAGTGTATATACCACACACACACCCCGGTGTATATACCACACAAATTCCAGGTAAACACTCCGGTGTATATAAAACACACACCGGTGTATATACCACACACTCCGGTGTATATACCACACACACCCCAGTGTATATACCACACAAATTCCAGGTAAACACTCCGGTGTATATAAAACACACACCGGTGTATATACCACACACTCCGGTGTATATAAAACACACACTGGTGTATATACCACACACTCCGGTGTATATAAAACACACACACCGGTGTATATACCACACACACCGGTGTATATACCACACACTCCGGTGTATATACCACACACACTCCGGTGTATATACCACACACACACACTGGTGTATAACCACACACACACCACTCCGGGTGTATTATACCACACACACACACACACTCCGGTGTATATACCACACACACACACTCCGGTGTATATACCACACACACACACTCCGGTGTATATACCACACACACACACACTCCGGTGTATATACCACACACACACTCCGGTGTATATACCACACACACACACTGGTGTATATACCACACACACACACTGGTGTATATACCACACACTCCGGTGTATATACCACACACTCCGGTGTATATACCACACACACACCCCAGTGTATATACCACACAAATTCCAGGTAAACACTCCGGTGTATATACCACACACTCCGGTGTATATAAAACACACACTTGTGTATATACCACACACACACTCCGGTGTATATAAAACACACACTCCGGTGTATATACCACACACACACACTCCGGTGTATATACCACACACACTCCGGTGTATATACCACACACACTCTCCGGTGTATATACCACACACACACACTCCGGCGTATATACCACACACACACACACACTCCGGTGTATATACCACACACTCCGGTGTATATACCACACACACACACTGGTGTATATACCACACACACACTCCGGTGTATATACCACACACACACTCCGGTGTATATACCACACACACACTCCGGTGTATATACCACACACACACTCCGGTGTATATACCACACACACACTCCGGTGTAAAATACCCACACACACACTCTGGTGTATATACCACACACACACTCCGGTGTATATACCACACAACACACTCCGGTGTATATACCACACACACACTCTGGTGTATATACCACACGCACACTCTGGTGTATATACCACACACACACTCTGGTGTATATACCACACACATACTCCGGTGTATATACCACACACACACTCCGGTGTATATACCACACACACACTCCGGTGTATATACCACACACACACTCCGGTGTATATATACTTCTGTGTCAAATTTATCCAGGTATTAATTTAATCGCGTAATGAATTAGTGGAATATTTTTTTCATTATCTGTAATAAATGAAAAACCCACAATGGTGAGTATGGATGCGAGAAGTGGCAGCTGTGTGCGCTGGAGCTGAACGTCATAAGATAAGATAAGATTTCGTTCGGATTTTTAACCCCGGAGGGTTAGCCACCCAGGATAACCCAAGAAAGTCAGTGCGTCATCGAGGACTGTAACTTATTTCCATTGGGGTCCTTAATCTTGTCCCCCAGGATGCGACCCACACCAGTCGACTAACACCCAGGTACCTATTTGCTGCTAGGTGAACAGGACAACAGGTGTAAGGAAAAGTGTCGAAATGTTTCCACCCGCCGGGAATCGAACCCGGGCCCTCCGTGTGTGAAGCGGGAGCTTTAGCCACCAGGCCACCGGGCCACTACCAGGCCACCGGGTCATAGATGTTGTAGTAAACAGTCTGGGCAGTGGAGACGGGATGTCTAATTATTAAGACAGTGTACGTAAAGTTCTTTTCTACTTTATTTCTAATAAGTAATCGGGCACTGGGCGGCAAATGCTGGCTAATGTTAGAATGGCGTTTATAAAAATTAATAAACATTTATTTTTAACAAGGACCCCAATGGAAATAAAGGACCCCAATGGAAATAAGTCACTCTGTCTGACTTTTTTGGGTTATCCTAGGTTCTCTACACATATGCTGCTATGTATGATAATTCTATGTAACTGTATTTGTGTATACCTGAATAAACTTACTTAACTATATTAACATTTTCAACAAGTTATTCAAAATGTACTTCTCGGGTAAAAGTTGTATCAATTCAGGTAGAGTTTCTCTCATCTGACAAGTACGATCGAGCACAATTCAAGGTAAATGATCTCTTTTGAGAAGTCTCCATTGCTCTCTGGACTGACGAGTCTAATCAAGACAGGTCTCGTGAACCTGGGAGCTGATGGAACCGCCTCATGATGCATTCACGAGCACTCCAAGGTTACCAACTTAACTACTTAAATTTTACCAACACCAGTACACCTTTATTTGTAAGAATTTTGGTTATTATTCACAGGGACCATTCACTCCGGTACCTGCCATTATCCAATTGTATATGCTCTCTGGTCTTGAGGATTTTATTTTTGTTTATTAATCCCCTTATACTGTCAAACATTCATTCCACCGCTTTGTTCTATTTTTACAGCACCTTTCTTAACAATGTTGCATTATTTATTTTGCTCACTCAATCTCCGACTAGTGGAAAACGATTCAACCTTCCTGAGCAAATGATTGCAGGTTAGTGTCTGCCACTTCATCTTGGATGTACATCAGAGGCCGAGTATTTGTTTGTGCCTCAACTTTTTTCAAAACCTTTCTCAAGTTTGTCAATGTACTGTTCTTATTATGGAGTGTTTTCCTAGAACTTTGTTTCAATCCCCACCATTCTTTCACAGACACACATGCCATGGGGCTTGTGGAAGGAGTAACTTTCTAGTTATTTCTAAATATCGCACTTTAGAAATATTATTAGCTTTTAATTTCTTAAGAGGTTCTCAGCCCTTTGGAATTAGTACCAGTGTCCATTATAATGAGTTTAGGACATAATGATGGGTTGCAAACCTCTTCAACAATTGCAAGAATGAACCTAAGGAGCTCTCAATGTGCAATTATAGTTATGCAGGTTAGCAGGCACGTGTATATCCTTTTGTCAATATTCTCAGTGTGCTTAAAATAATCATAGCATCGATGTAGTTGATTCCGGGTGTTAGTCTTGTTATACAACTGCTAGTAGTAAATCAGGATCAACAAATCGTCGTCCTAGCCACACAAGCTTAAAATGTTGAGATATAATTTACATGATGCGTGTTTACAGGCGGTGTGTGGACCTCCCTGCCAACAAAAACTGAGCCACGGGTATCGTCAGTGGCCGCTGTGGTAATTGGTATCAATAAGATGTCTAGGCACGGTAACCATCAGCACGCTGGAGCAGCCGCCCTCTCCACCAGCCAGGATCTCTTCCATACAGTGAGTGCCACACTGAATGTATTTGTCTTTCCATTACTTTCTTCATACTTACCCACAGCACCAGTAACATTATTCATTCGGTTTGCCACCAGTGACATCACTCATCCCATTTACTCATATCACCAGTGTCATCATTTCACACGTGTCACCAATGATCTTACGAAAGCAGATGAAGCAAAGGGATGGATTAAATTAAAACTTTCCCCCTTTTCATTATTTTTCGTTTTTTTTCCGGACTGTGTTCGCATTGTATCACTACTTGCAGCTACTAAACGATGTCAATTACTCCATTTCCGATTTCTCAGTTTACTACGGTTTTAATGTGTGATGCTAGTGGCAAAAAAAAAAAGCTTCAGGCTGGTTCATTAGTTCTGAAGAGGCTGAGATGTGTCGGAGGGCGAGGATGCTGCTGCTGCAGCATGTGGCACCAGTAGCAGCATGATGCGGCACCAGTAGCAGCATGATGTGGTACCAGTAGCAGCATGATACAGCACCAGTAGCAGCATGATGCGGCACCAGTAGCAGCATGATGTGGCACCAGTAGCAGCATGATGCGGCACTAGTAGCAGCATGATGCGCACCAGTACAGTAGATTGGGACCAGTGCGCATGTACGGCACCCCGTACAGCAGATACGGGACCATAGCAAC